TGGGAAGCTGTTCCGTGGGTGAGAGGATCTGTGAGGTGGTTTGCAGTGTGTGTGTGTGTGTGTGTGTGTGTGTGTGTGTGTGTGTGTGGTGTGTGTGTGTGTATGTGTGTGTGTGTGTGTGGTGTGTGTGTATGTGTATGTGTGTGTGTGTGTGTGTGTGTGTGTGTGTGTGTGTGTGTGTGTGGTGTGTGTGTGTGTGTGTGTGTGTGTGTGTATGTGTGTGTGTGTGTGTGTGGTTATTGTGGGGGGTGGCACGGTGGGGGGGGGTTAACTGGTGGAGGGATGGAGGGAGAGGGAGAGAGGGAGTGAAAGGGAGAGGAGGAGGAGTGAAGGGGAGTGAAAGGGAGGGAGAGTGAGGGAGAGAGGGAAGTAGGCAGAGAGGAAGAGAGGGAAGTAGGCAGAGAGGAAGAGAGGAAGGAGGGCAATCAGGTGGGTGAGGTATGGAGGGTCAGTCCCTGGGGTGAGAGGTGAGGTTGGCGGTAGGCTGGTTTGTGCGTGCGTGTGTGTGTGTGTGTGTGTGTGTTTACACTGGCATGTTATGGTGAGGAGGGGGGGAGATGGTAGGTCTAGTCAGTGGCGGTGTAGTGTAACACACAGGTGTGAGAAACTAGTACCAAGCTGAGGCTCTTGAGCTTCTTTTTCGTATTTTAATTAACTTATGTTCAAAGCTAATTACTATATAAAAAACACTATACACCTTGTATGACTGACTTTGAGAGGCACTCACCTCCGAGTAAGCATCCCACAGCACAATTAGGTGATTTATGAAGCGATGTCGCCTTAATTGTTAACGTCTCCGCCAGAGGTCCTCCCACGTGGTGGTCCAAGCTCTTCCTTCTCAGGCCTCTGGTGCCACCGTCTTGCCGCAATCTCGTTCTTTTTCAATTTTTTTTCTTATCCAACTTATAAGAATTCACTATGTTGCGTTATCACTGCGTTGCTATACCCTTCAATGACCAAAAACTATGTTTTGGGCTCACTGGTACATAAATATCCCGAGAATATTGAAGTAATTCGCGGACCGCCGT